TGCGTGCGTCAGTGTCATAGCGGTTAGAACGATCTCCAACCATGCACATGGTCCGGGGTTGGATCCCCGGCCGAAACACTCCTTTACCTTGCTAAGCCAGAAACAATGCTGGTAAAAGGAAAGGTTGGGTATGAGGCTAGTAACTCCATCCTGTAAAATAAACACTGCTACAGAAATTTCAAGCCACTAGCTTGAAGTCCTATGTTCCACTGGGGAACGTGAAGGAAAAAAAATACCCCTGTGATTATCACAGGAAGACTTGTCTTCCTTCTTGTAAATCGGGATGATCAATGACTGACACTAACCCGACGGGGCTTCCTCTGATTACCAGAGGCTGTCTGATACTTTAGTTAAAGCAAACAGTTCACCGTCCTTAAACACCTATGGAGTTATCTCATCAGGTCCCGCTGCTTTTCCTCGATTCAAACTCGACACAGCTTGCGTAACCTCAGTTAGGGACAGAGGAACTCTGTTTATATCCCATTCAGGGAGGTGTTGGGTGCTGAGTAAGTTGGTGATGGCTGTAGGCTGGTGATGGAGGTCACTAGGTTAGGCAATGTCTCTCTTTGTGCCTAAAGTTAGTGCTGACTAGGAACAGATGATTATCGGAAGGGAACTGTATAAGACGGTCACCATTGTCGATTCGTCGGCAGGGAACTCCGTACGTACCACCAATATACTTCTGAGTCGTCATAACTTCCCTAGTTGGGCATCAAAGTAGCCTGTTAAGCCAACTATATCTGAGCGCTTTGCATTTTGCAGCAAACTAGACAGCTATTAGTAGAAATCATCCTTTAATTCATCCAAACTGCAGTTGGTCGGGGCGTAAGCGGAGACTAGGAAAAGTCATCTACGGGTAACACCGTCTTTCATCCTTCTACCGGAACCGTTCAGACGGACCGCACACATACGACTATCTACTGGGATCCAGTCAACGCTATGCCTACACCTGCGAGTCCTCGCGAACTATCAGAGGAATCTCTTGACACTCTTGAGGTAAAATTTGCACATGCACTTTGTTGGCCAGTTAGGGTTAAGTGAATAACCACACTCTTGCGTGCCTCTGAAACACAACATAAATCCATGGCTCCAGATGTCAGAGAACTGGCTAGTGATGCCTGCTGTTCGATTTTGCAGAGGGTCCTGACGTTAAATGCTTCAATATGAAGTCGGCGGCGTGACTTTAAGAGGCTATCGAGTTTTTTTTCTAGCTCTCATCGTTATTTATGGTCACAGAATGAAATGAGGGTGACTCACTAGCCTGCAGATAGTATTGAATGTAGTAGGGAAATAAGATGACAAGGGTCACAGGGGCAAAGGAGAATGATCAGGAGGGCTTCGCGTGTTTTTGGTATTGTGTGTGCCCACAAAGTGGAAGTTGGTTTTTTCTTCGGGTATCTGGGACAGAAAGAGAATTATTGTTGAGTGACTGCAGTCTAGCGGACAACTGATTGAGGCCAGTCACATATGGCCGGTCTGAACTAGCTTTTCGATTTGGTTACATTTACGCAACAGCAAACAAAACTACTTCTTAACTGTTCTAAACAGGAAGTCAGTGGAAGATAAAATTCGGAATATTTATAATGAGTTAATAAATATTATTTTGTCTAGTCTTCAGTATTGACTAATTTTAGCCTGGTGAAATGTATCCTAAAGCGGTACTTTATGTGATGCATAATGAAGTGTTTTCAAACAATTATCGTCAATGTCCTAGCTCATATCTTCAAATTCTATAACCAACATCTTTGAACAAAACACTCTTCCCTCTTTACCTTTATATTAAAGCTTCAATTTGATTTCCCATTTCAACTTTCAATGAAAACTGGTTTAACCTTAATTGACCTCTAAATTTAACATATGAGCATCTAAATTCTCCTAGTTTCCCTTGATTGACACGAAAAATTCCATTGTATTTTATCCATGAAATTGATTACATCTATTCAAAAGCAGAGTACATATTTTGTGAGAAACGATTAGCTATACCAATGCATCCTATAGATAGCAGACATCAGATCGATTTCGATAATGTCGAAATTCTAGAATGAGGATTTCATACACACAAAGAAAGACTGATCTCTGAAGCCTTGCGTGTTTTAACCACATAGAATGCAGTAAATAGAAGACAAGGGATACACTTATTGACCTATATGGCAGACTCTAATGAAGCGAAACAGTTGACAAAATAAAACTCAATCCTATATATTATGACCACTGTAAAAAAAATACTATCATGTATTGAAGGTAATGTCGGTAAAGAGTTTGACCAATGTGGAAGAGGTCAAATAAATTATAATTATATTTCAATATAATTATAATTTATTCGAGGTATTGACGTGTTTTCCACATAACAGACAACACGCACATACACTAATACAGACAAATATGCATAATACGACAAATCGATATTTCAACATCCGAAAAAAATTCACAGTATGAATTTATGTTAGACTCCTGCCGTCACATGAACCATTTGCAGCTCTATCCAAAGAACATAATGGCTGGTCAAAAGCAAAGATATCATCAGTTGGCTTGATAAATCTCACTAACTAAAGCAGATGTAAAACGAATCGATTAATCTCTACGATTATTCCGAAATCCCTTGATCAGATATACTTGAATATATTTCTAAATGGCATATGGATTAGCTAAGACAAATTATTTATTAAACATAAAGCAGAAAATGCACAGATAACCACGAATTTCAGATCTTCAACTTCAATATTATTTGATGCACATCCTGAAGAGACAGATGTTTGACGTGAAAGGCATTACTGCACATGTGATAATAGTTAGTGCAAATCTGTTCTCTGAATATTTCAGGACATCCGGCTTAAAAACATGCAATTTACTTACCGTGAACATCATTGACTTATACATGAAAACACTACAGGTAACTATTTTATTTAGTTCGTAAAGCACCTCATGGCAATCGCATGTAAGATATAAACAGAGCTCTGGATGCTACATGTGAAGAAGCTTGAGAACATGCTTACATTTTAGTAGAAAAGGTATTAAAAGAGTATACTACTGACAGTGGTGAATTTCTCTTGCTGTTGTATTCAACTAGTTAGGTAATTTAATTTTGAAACTTTCATTATCTTTCTAGACGTCATCTTCAGCGCTAACTTTAATCCAGTGCAAACATTTTCGAACACATCTTTAAAATGAGTTGGCAATTTATTAAAACCTGCTTGTTCCCGTTTTCTTTCGTTTTGCTGTTGGCATATGAGCTCCTAAAACGAGTGCCTCAGGGACACCACCTTAGATGCATAGTAACTAGTGAGGGGAACCAAGGGTGTAGGTACTTGTCTAATCGGGACCTGTTAGACGGCTGTAGTCGCATCCTATCGAGAAACAGTATCCTCATCCAGTACCTATAGTTTCAAACGCTAATGAGTTATTCACTAAGGTACTCAGGTATAACATCAAAGTGAGATTAAAGGCATCATTACATGCTCATTCTAAAAGTCTGTATGTCTACAAAGGTGGATTATTTTGCCTGAACAAAACAGGTGACAGAAATAAAGTTTCAATGGATAGTACATTACCGCTTGAAATAATAAATCATCAGAACACCATTCCCTATTGGAATATAGGTGTATCCACCCAAAGATGAGAAAATACACACCCTCTGTTTCACTGTAATAAACGTGAATTTCGATGCCAACTGACAAGAACAATTCAAAAATCAAACAACTATAGAGTGGAATTCGCGTTACATAAACAGACATTATGAACTGGCGATTTTTTCCAAGTGAATTGTTTCTTTATCGAATAATTTCTAACCAAGTGGAAGATGAATGTGAATAGGTTGCACGCAAGCCTAAGCTGTTTTTCTTTCTACGTACGAAACACCTGATAAACGTTAACTATCATAATTAAATTTTAATATATTTATTCGTTGAAGTTTCTGTAGCGATTTGGTCAGACAAGGGTGCTTATTATCACCAATGATATTCCTAATTGTGGTGGACTGGATCATGCGTCAGACAGTGGGAAACGAGAAGACAGGAATATCCTGGACCGACAGACGTGAAGAACCTAGAAGACCTGGATTTCGCGGAAGATTTATGTTTGATGTCACACACAATCGAAGACTTACAAGCGAAAACCGACAAACTAGTCGAAGAAGCAGCCGGCGAAGACAAGACGGAGGTTATGAAAATAACCAGCCAACAACAACAACATCCAACGTCAATCACCATCAACGGGAGGGATTTGAAAGAGGTTACTTCATTCACTTATCTAGGGAGCATTGTCTCAACTACAGGGAGTCAGAACGAACGAGGATGTCAAATCGAGCGAGAGTCGGGAAGGCGAGAAACACATTCGTCAACCTGAAACCAATCTGGAAATCTTCGTCACTCAGCCAGCATCAACAACCAAATTCCGTCGGATTTTCAATACAAACGTCAGGTCAGTCAGTTCTTCTATACGGATCAGAAACTTGACAAGCTCACAAAGAATATTTCCAACAGCCTGTTGCAGACCTTTATCAACAACTGTCTTCGCTGGCTCTATACTGAAGATCAGATGGCCAGGCCGGAAAGAATCACCAACAAGAAACTATGGGAACAAACAAACAAAACAAGAACCAATCGCCCACCAACAGCAAATATGCAGGAGAAAGTGGAGAGGGATCGGTCACTCGTTGGGGAGACTGCTGGGTGATATCGCGCGTCAAGCCCTCGAGTGGAACCCGAAAGGGAAGCGGCGTGTGGGACATCCAAGGGTGACATGGAGATCGTATGAAGAGGAGTTGAAGGAGTATGGACTAACATGAATGGAGGTGAAAAGTACAGCAGGAGGAAGACAGAAGCAAATGGAGACGCGCAGTTGAAGCCCTATGTTCCACTAGGAACCCAAGGGAGCAATAATAATAAATCATAATTAAATTCCACGGATAGTAGTGAGTGAAGAAGGATAATGCCTTCGGTGAAAACAAAAAGTAATAATAAGTTCAATATTTTTAGTAATAAACTATATTTGATATATATATATATATATATATATATATATATAATCTATTCCGTATAGAAAACAAAAGGGCGACAGAGAAAAAAGTATAAAAGAAAACAAAAACAATTCGATGAAAAAGAAATAGGATACAAAAAAGGTGGTTAACCCAAAAAAGATATGCTATACACAAAGGAATATTGGATATGTATGTTATCTCTCGGAGACAAAAAACCAAACATACAATATAACGAAGTTGGTTGAGTCTTCTTCGTATATTGATTAGCTGAGCATGGAAAAAAAGCAACCCCAATGTTGAATAAGTCAACACCAATGCTTTATTTAGGCGGTTTGTTAAACAAACAGTAATAAAAAATATGCATATGAAACAATCACAACGCGTCGCTTTCAAAATATGCGCGTGTTTACTGTTTTTCTCTGGTTATCACTCAAACAAGTGATAAAAAAATAAAATATTTTACGCGTGTGCACATTCATGCGCGCGCGAGCACAAACAAACAATGATAAAATACACTGGAAACGTTATATCTGTGATGACAGTCTCGTAAAGGCAGCGTACGGTATGAGACAGAAACTTGTTACACACAGTAATAATGGGAGTAGTAAGCAAAATGTGTCAAAGATGAAAGAAATGATCGCACATAAAAAAGTGCACAGAGACGATTACAAAGTTCACCAATATTCATATTTAACTCATATGATCGATCACATTAGCCTAAAAACAGACCTGGGATAAAGGAAGAGAGAAAGAGAAACATTGCCATCAGTGTATACTATTGATGAATATCAGTCATTTCCTTCCATTGGTCGATAAGCCTAATATCATCTCATTAGTTAATAGAAAAACAAAAGAGGGGAAAAGAGAATAGGTTTCGTTCAACCAACAGGTAAACAATAGATATTAAATAATGAAAAGGTGAAAATGATATGTGCATACAAGTCATATATATATATAAGGGGTTAAAAATTGACATTTTAGGCTGTGTTAGAAAAAAGAAACGACAGGATAACAAATTATGAAACACTATCACATCACCACTGCAGAATCTGTTGCTGTAATACAGCCCAGAAGAGAGGTAATCACAAGTTGAAATAGATTCAACGGTTAGAAGGCTTGCAGTTGTAGCACAAGAAAATACACACATAAATAAGGAAGCAGAAAAATATTATTAGTAATAATTACGAAATGTATCGTGTTATTCAGTTCTATCAAAACACAGAAAAGTGTGCAGGTTAGCTTAAATGTTTGGAGGTTAAAGAAGAATCTTTTCTTTCTTTCCTCTAACTACGCGACTTCCGCAAGCTGTACGGTATTGTTGTTTTCGTCAAAAGTGTTACTACTAATCTGTGTAATACGATCTGCTACGTCATCATGCTGCTTTACTCAGAAAACATGACGCGCAGATATATATGGATGAATAAACACACACACACACACGCACACTCAAAAGAAAGTGGACCGAGAAAGGCGAAAAAGATTTTTTCAAAACTCAATACTTTAAGTAAGAAGAGGAAGAAGAAAAGTTACAAGTTATAGGTGAGCGCGTGCATGTTACTACTGCTATGACTACGTTGTTTCACTTTCAGTTGGTAAGAAAGCAAACCAAATTCTGAATAACAATGCCCTCACACAAATACAATATACAAATACGTATACATAAAAATGAGTATGCAACATGTAACTTCGTTTTGTGGTCAAAAACATGAGCAAAATATAAAAAAAATGGGATGACAGTTTGTCTGTGAAAAAAATATGCATGCATGTTAATTATTTAATATATATTTATAAAAATTGGAGGGGTGAAAGAAAAGAGAAGAAAGAAATCTCAAATAAGTGTGCTTTTTAGTCACTGATCAATAAGTAACATGGATAGTTAGACAGATAGGTATATAGATACAAATTCTCTTTGGCTGGCTCTTTTTTTCCTTTTCATGAGCCTCCACCACCGCTGGCAATTTCCAGTAGAGACGGATGTCGTTCAATAATTCGTGTTATCAAATCATCAATATATTTGCGTAACTGTTCATTGGCATACTTCTCTTTGGATAACAATTCGACAACCTGAATAAGTGACATACATTGGAATTATTAACTGGCATATTCGCATAATGCAATGAAGTCAGTTACAAAAAAAAACACAGTGGATAGCCACTGGACATTCAAATATTGTACTAAAGAAGTCTAAGAACTCTGATTAGATACTAGGTAGTAGTATCCAGTATAGTTCTACAGAAGGTTCATCACCAGCTTAAATACCTCAGTGGTAACGTCTTTGACTGCAGCACTGGTTAATCCAGACTCGAAATTTAGAAAGGACATGAGTTCCTCCAAGATTTCAGATACCCCTTGCTGACGATTACCAAGGCATCTTACCGACTGCCTCCAACCATATAACAAGGCTAAGAATCAATGACTGGAGACTATTGATGACATAGTTCAAAGTCGTTCTAAATGGCTCAGATACATTCATTTATTTGTCATCTCCTAGACATATTAAATACTTAGTATTTTCCATGTAATTATTCCTCCTCCCGTATAATTTTTTTAGTCTTTTTGATTAATTATTTTTACTACCTGTCTGTATTTGTGCCATCATGAATTGTGGCAACCTGAACTGCTGCACCATTGTGATAAGTTCGACGTTGGGCTTTTAGTTCAGGTCAGTCAGTGCCAATGAAGAAAATAATTCTGAGTTTTGGATTCAAGAGAAGTCATCACAACCGAAGTAATGAAACATCGTCTGACTAAAAGTACCAAATGCACTGTCTTGGCTGATAGGTTACAGTTGATACACTCGGGAAGGAGCTTGATTCGATATTATGTGGGGAATAATTTACCTCTTTTGTTGCATGTATGTGTTTCTTTGGAAAACACAAACACTGCATACGAAAGCGTTGTGCAGGGTAACTTTTTTTCACCTCTGTTGACAACATTTATTTCGGTTTACGTTAATTAAAGCCAACTTCTCTTCTTAATAATCCTTTCTCCATTGCATTCAGTCAAGTACTAACTCACCCACAATCGTGTCAGTTAATTATGGTATGTGTATTACTGGAACAGTTTTAATGAGGCAGTTATACGACTTGAAAACAGTTGCAGAAAAAGAAATATTTCTTCTTTGCATAAATTTTAGTTTGCCATTTTACATGCGTAAACGAGTATGCTTCAGAGCATAGTTGTTAATTTTGTGATTCATGAAATTGAGATTTTAAGTCAGTTAATCAACTGACAGATATGAATAAACGATTCAGGCAAACAACTTCCCCCTCTTTCCCCCCCCCCCAAAGTTTGCAAAAGTTCTACACGTTTACCACTCACATATTCACTTTAGACTCAATAAGACTACAAAAATCCAAAATGTGACCGAAGTGCGTTCGAACACGAATTCTTACTGCATACTCACATACTTCTACTTCAGTATTTCACAGCACACTGCAAACATTTAACCGACTGTGATTATTGAAAAATCACTTGAGCACCACAAACTATCACAACTGTTCGACGCTCAAATAGAATCAACCAATATTTACGTCATGTACAATTTATTCTAAGCAACTTATTAGACGAGTGGTAACCACTTTTACTCAATAAACTAACAGCACAACTAATATGCATTAAAGCATAATCATAGTTGCATACATGAATATATTAAGGGACCATGTTTCACACATTGAATCTACACACACAAGCACACAGAGCAAAGACTAACAGAGGACTAATTATAGACAACAACAAGAAATACACTTTCTTCTTCTTCTTCTTCTTCTTCTTCTTAAAAAGCCATTAATCAATAGCTAAAATAATTGAATGAGTGTCTGCAGCTGTGAAACACGCATAATAATGTGATGTGTGCGTTTGTGTGTGTATACACACGGAAATTAGAGAAAAACAATAGGAACACATACTCACAAAAATTTCCATTTATAAGTTTTCTAATTTTCTTTAGTGAATAAACAATGACGCATACAAGCTAACAAACACATCAACACTCATTATTCTTGCCTAACTCATTAACTAATAATAATAATAATAATAATAATAATAATAATAATAATACAAATCCATATCTCTAAAAAGCACAGAATGAACTGCATCGATTATTTTCGCCTACATTTTTCTGCTTTCTCTGTCTCATCTATTCACTCGCTCACTCAGACTCTCTCTCTCTCTCCTCTACACACACACTGTCATTGTCGCTTTATGTTTTAAATTAATCAACTTCACGATTAGAAAGATAACGATAGAAATCAAAACATTAAGTATACTATTTTAGCGTGAAATGCTGTAACCAAGTTGTTATACGCAAAAGAGCATGTAGAAGAGTATATTTGTCTAGTTGCTTGTATATATATACACACACAAACGCAACACATGATCGATGGTTGTTGAGATATCACCTCACTTTCTCGATGATCAATGAAGCATATTATTGCACTTATATGTTATGTGCATTTAACTATATACCATGTGACTGCTTAATCTGAAATAAATGTAGTTCCAGAAGTCATCCTACAAATAGCTTCATTTGCTTTTCACTCTCATTCCATATATATATATATATACATATATATATCTGAGAAATTCACCACAGGATCACGACAAATCAAAAGTCCGGTATAGAAAATGACAATCACCTAAAAAGGAGTACTCTGTGGATCACTGAGAGGGATTAGTTAGCACTGCTTGTTGATTATTGAAAAGAAACACAAGTAACACTCCTCCCAAAAGGAAAATCAGTAGCATTTTTCTAAAATACTGCCTATATGTCTTTCATCTGTAAACTTAGTGTATTAACGTTAAACCGGCAATTTCAATTTAAAACTCACCTCTTCCTTAGTGCAATTATCGATTTCAGCAGCCCAACTTTTCTCAGAAGATCGTATCAAACTCCTACCTTGTTGGAGTGATTGAGTAAGGAGTTCTTCTTGGGCTTCTTCAACTTGTTGTCGTAATGCTTTGTTTTCAGCAGTTAACCGACGGACGATCTCCTGAACTTCTTGATAACGTGCTAAGACTTCAGAGCTGCCAGTTGCAGCAGCTGCTGCAGCAGCTATAGTGCCTGAACCTGAACCCACTCTGCTTCGTCGTTTGCCTCCCATTGAACCGTTTAATTCTTCTAACACCTAAATGCAAGATATATCAATATTAACAAGACATAGTAACAAAGTAAACAGCATAAATACAACGCGAAAGTTAAATGTACTACACTGTACGAATAATCGTTAGTAGAAAAAAAAGTGACCTATAACGCTTGAGGTTCAGTCGATTCTACGGAGATATTCTATCTCCCGTGTGAATTGGTATAATAAGGTGAGCAATATTGAGGTTAGGCGTCGAGTGCTAGGTAAGGACGGATAATCAGTCGACGAGGCTGTGAAGTTACACCGACATGTGTTACACCTGCCTAGTCATCGCCTTCCTCGACAGGCAATGTTAGCTGACACAGGGTCAGGCTGGAAAAGAGTTAGAGGCGGTCAAACCAAAACATGGCACCAGTCAATGAAATCTACAGCAATTAATTTAAGCCACGTAGGAAGGTGTAGACTTCCTGTTTCGGGTCCTCGGGACGGTAAAAAACAATGGCTAGAAACAATCGGTTTATTATTATTTATTTAAACGCACAAAAACTTGGTACAATATGGCACCAAAAAGGATGCGCCACACAATAATAATGAAACAACATAAATCAAAAGTTAAAAAAATAAATAGAGAACGGATAAAGAAGGAAAACAGTCATGCTTAACAAGTTCAAACAGTATTCGTTAACTATCATCGGGAAGGGAAGAAAGAAAGAAATTCCAACACGTTCGCCATTGATTACGATTCTTGCCCATATCCGATAACGTTTCGAGCCATCGATTTGAGCCATCTATCGGACCCCAACCAGGGAGTCGTGACACACTAACCGATGCTAACCTAACACAAAAATCCCTCATCCCACGACGCCACGTCATGGACTGACCACCTCTCCGCCTTTTCCATCCCATCCCAGGGCTAGCGAACAGAGACCTGTACGGAAGCCTCTGGAATAACATTCGCAGCACATGTCCAAACAATCGGTGATATGGCTCAAAATCGTTCTCAGTTGCGCAGATGCATCCACTCCTTGTGAATTATGATTTCCAATGAAACTCTTTTGTTCTTCATTACTACTATCCCTTTGTCTCACACCTCTGTTTACTGTCTCTAATATGCATTTCTTCTACTTTCTTCTCTTGCTTTATGTGCTACATGGAGTGTGGCGACTTGAACTGCCGAACATCGGTGGAAAGTTCTATGTCGAAATCAGACAGACAGAGAGACTACGGAGACAACGATGATTGAGCACGAGAGTCATCACAACTCGATGAGAGAGGGCTTCATAGACATAAAGCAAGAGTGAGCGAACCGAAACAGTGCAAACTCGACCTCTGACAGTCAAAATGACGTTGTGACAGCACTAGAGAAGGATATGGATGATTTATCTTCCGAAAAAAAATTTATTGAAATGCATTAATATATTCATAATGCACAATCAGAATCAAGTTACCCTTAATATTACCTATATTCTTCACCATGCATCATTGCAAGATCAACATGTATTGAGCAATATTACACATGCGAGAAAAGCACTTACTCTTATTATTATTATTACTACCAGCATTACTGTTAATACGTAGTCATAATTTCACTGATCTGATAAACTGGTGTTTCACTGGTACGTACTTATTTATCCCCCATAAATAATTTGTTGTTATTGTTTCTTATCCTGTCAGAAAAGTCGGTGAATTGAAAGCCTTCAAAAGACATGACTGTTTGACGAAAATAAGGTTTAAAAAATAATTAATCAGTGAATCCTATGATGAACTCCTGTCTATCCAGACTTCTTCATAATCAAGATCAGGTAGACAGTTGGCTGGTAGTGTCTCTAAATAGTCTTCAGTGCATCTATTTCGTCTCGTGTGTCGATCGAAACATGTCACTTAATACAACATTGTTGCAGCCAAGCTGACTGATACGTCACAATTATTTTTATTTCTTTTAAATTTCAGTGGTCATAGGTAAGAAATTATACACCAATGACATTTCGAGCAGAATTTAGTTACCACAATCACGCAAAGGTGATCACATAACCCACATTTTGACTACACAGTCTGTTATTTCTTATTCTTTCAAATTATTTGTATTATTATCTTCTGTACATCCGGTAATGATGTTATATCATCCATATTTCGAATGTTTGGAGTACGGAACAAGGATTCGGTGATTAACCTCTCTATCTCTCTCCTCGCAACCACTTTGTTTTTTAGAATGTAACTCTGTCTCACACTTTCGAAAAATAGGGATTTAGTTAAGTGTAGAATGATTCACCCGCCTAAGCTATTTCAGTCTACTCATCACTAACACATATAAGGTGGGACGGAATTATAGTTCTACAAGGATAAGAAATAATGGGTATAACATAAACAAAACGTGAAAGTTATGCGAATACTTTGATATGATTATGAGCAATACGCTGTGCTCTCATCAAGGACTTGGTATCACTGACGGTAGAATGCTTTCACGCTTTCATGTGATCACGCGTTCATAGCCTATATCAGGTGATCCTCGTTCACTGACCTTCACGCAGAGGTGTTCCTCAAAGATATAAAAAGAGCGGATGCAAACGTCTGGTGATTACAGACGGACTGGCGAAAATGTTGGTTTGCCTAAGGGGATTGGAAAAGCCTGATTACAAAATTATGGTGTACACGGGCTCTGATTCCGTGTGGAGCATTCTTGTAGTTGCCATAATGTACCAAGTTTGAGTTTTAATAGCAATAATAATAATAATAAATAAATAAATAAAATGCTCTAAATGTCATTAGTACATAAATAAAACTGTTGGAGAGAGAAGAACAAGGTAACGATGCACTCTATACTACACTACCATATACAATTTTATTTTCTAATATTTTTGTCCACGGAACATTATGCGACACACATACACACACTTTGTGTTTATGGTAAAAAGTGAAAACAATCCAAAAACAATTCTCAGTAATCCTGGTATTATGTATTAGTACACACCTCTGGCTTTCTTTTCCGTGTGAATCATTCACAGAATTCAATCCAATCCAGGCTATCTATATATTCTTCTTGTGATTATACAAGGCAAAACACACGTGTCTAAACCTAATCTAAGTAAACTTGAAGTTCTTGATCTCATTTCTTTGCTTGTTTTCTCTTTCCACCTGTTTCACGCTTTCAGTTTGGTTTCTGTTCTTTGTTTTGTACACATTTTACTCACACACACACAAAGACCAACACTGCTCCTATCTCTCGTACTTTCTTTTTCCCACACTATTTAGTTTCTTTCTTTGTTCGTTTTTTTCTCTTGTTTTTAAGTACACAGAAACCAAATGATACTTTTCCTCTGACCAATTCAATAGAAAAGAAAGCATCTACAGTATTCTATTACACAAATAAAGCCAGAAAAACACAGAGGAAAAGATCCTGTTCGATCGTAAACTTAACCAGCCTTCATAGAATAATCAATTTGTTAGAAATTCCACCTTTCTGGAAAGAAAATCGAAAACTTCTCAAATAAGCGATTCACCTTCAAGAACGCAGCTACACTAAAGTCAACTACGTGAGCTAACCTCATTTTTTATATCACCAATTCCAATATATAAAGCATTTTATAGATCTGGACTGTGTAGATGGACCAGATTTTGGAGAATCGACTGACCTATGCTTTATTATTACACCAAATTAAGTGATGCATTGGATTTAAAAAGGAATAAAGTCTTACAAACAGTCACAATGACTCGAGAATGAATATCAAAGTGTGACACTGAAGATATATATATTACAGCAGAACGCTTCATGATCAACAGAATTCGATTAGAACTAAAGCAGATAACACGGAAGACAGCTGTAGAAACTGAATTTGTGCCCAAGTTCAGTGACAGTGAGATAGACTATTCTTCACTCTTCAGCAAAATCATTTATTGTAGATAGGGTAAAACATACGCAAAAGACTAGCCATTCTTGACCACAGAAGTCTACGCTCTGTCTCCCATGTTAAGAGATAAAATATGATAAGTAATATCCAGGCTAGGCATAGAGTATTAGGTAAGGAGTGTAAGTCAATCAATGTGGTTGTGAAGCCTGAGTCTATTGATATGGTCGGGACAAGTCTTACTCATGATGAGCCACAGCCTTCCTCAACGAATAATACTAGCTAACACATGATTCATTCGGAAAAGAGTTGCAGGTGGTCAAACCAAAACCTGGAATCATTTCATCAAGTCTTTCACAATTGGTTTGAACCAAGCAAGGAGTTGTAGGGTGCCTGCTCGGGGTACTCGGGAGTCTAAGAATCAATGGCTGGAGACTATCATTGATGTGGTTCAAAACTGTTATCAGTGGCTCACATGTATTACGTCTTTGCGATCTCCCATATTCACCGAGCCGTCGTGGCTTTTATTATTATTATTGTTCTATCGAGTTCCTAGTGGAACATAGGGCTTCAACTGCGCGTCTCCATTTGCTTCTGTCTTCTGCTGCTGTACTTTTCACCTGCATCCATGTTAGTCCATACTCCTTCAACTCCTCTTCATACGACCTCCTCCATGTCACCCTTGCACTGACGACCACGTCCCACTCGCCGCTTCCCTTTCGGGTTCCAATCGAGGGCTTGACGCGCGATGTCACCCAGCGGTCTCCCCAACGAGTGACCGATCCCTCTCCACTTTCTCCTGCATATTTGCTGTTGGTGGGCGATTGGTTCTTGTTTTGTTTGTTTGTTCCCATAGTTTCTTGTTGGTGATTCTTTCCGGCCTGGCCATCTGATCTTCAGTATAGAGCCAGCGAAGACAGTTGTTGATAAAGGTCTGCAACAGGCTGTTGGAAATATTCTTTGTGACCCGCCCGCTTGTCAAGTTTCTGATCCGTATAGAAGAACTGACTGACCTGACGTTTGTATTGAAAATCCGACGGAATTTGGTTGTTGATGCTGGCTGAGTGACGAAGATTTCCAGATTGGTTTCAGGTTGACGAATGTGTTTCTCGCCTTCCCGACTCTCGCTCGATTTGACATCCTCGTCCGTTCTGACTCCCTGTAGTTGAGACAATGCTCCCTAGATAAGTGAATGAAGTAACCTCTTTCAAATCCCTCCCGTTGATGGTGATTGACGTTGGATGTTGTTGTTGTTGGCTGGTTATTTTCATAACCTCCGTCTTGTCTATGTTGATGAATATTTGGGGTACGCCGTAGCACACGAGTAGTTTGTAATTACTTCGCGGTCAACGCTGTCTGGTGAAGGCCTTCTCGAAGTCTATGAAGTTGAGGTAGAAGTTTGATCGCCATTTCATGCTTTGTTCTGTGATGATGATGCGTAGAGTTGCAATTTGGTCAGAACATGATTTGCCTTACCTGAATCCAGCTTGTTCTGGTCGGAGTTCTGTATCCAGTGCGTCGTTTATTCTCTCCAGGATGGTGCGACTCAGGATTTTACTTGGCGTCGACAGGAGCATGATTCCTCGCCAGTTCTTGCAGAGTCCTAAGTCGCTCCTCCTTGGTAGTTTCACAAGGTAACCTATCCTCCAGCCAGTAGGCACCTTTTCCTCCTCCCAGACCTTTTGCAATAACGGAGTCAGCATATCTGCTATTGTCTCTGGGTCCGTGTCGTGGCTTTGCATGTTACTATTTCTTTTTTTACTTCTTCTTCACATTTCTGCTTATTTTAGTAATTCAGAATCCTTTTTTCTGTGTTTTGTTCACCTTTGTGGGCTACATGGGATTTGGTGCTGCACTTCTGTGCAAACTTGTATATAGAAACTCAGCCGGTCAGTATAAATGGGATAGGCATCTTCCATATGATATCAGTGTTTTTTCAAAGGGTCCAAGGTGTCAAGTTAAGTGACATCAGTCTTTACCATAAGTCTAGACAAGTGAAATAGAGATACATTCAGATAGAAAAGAAAAAAACAGCACACTTTCGAACGCAGATATAATCAAATGAGAAGAAAACACAACTCACGTGTACAGCATGATCACGATCCTTTCTTAAAACCTCCATTTCTTTAGCATGCCTATTTTTCATTGAATTCATCTCTTCTTGAAGACTACGAACCTGTTCTTGTGACTCACTGAATTGTTCATTAGTTCGTCGAAGGTCCTGTGATAGTTAAGTGTAAAAATGAACACATAAACACTGCAATAAACACAGTGTTTAATATCGCATAACAGAAACATAACAAAAGTTCAAATAGAATAAAAGGGTAGCATAATTTTGTTAATTGCCCACTGTTGACTTCTGAATAAATTAAGCTGCAATATCAATATAAAATGCTGCGAAGCTATGAATTCACGTGCTGAATGCATCAAGAGATTTTCGCCATAGACTATCTTGATAAAGCTTACAACTTTTTTCGTCCTAATTAGCCATCAAACTGTTTGAAAAACAACTTATGGTTTTTTGTATGATAGCGGTAAGCAAATCTCATATGACAGAGAACAACAAACCTCACTAGTCAAAACGTTGGCATAACTGGAAGCGAATCCACTCCTCTACAAAAACTGTTTCAACGATTATTGCTAGCCTGTAGTCGAGTATCAATAAACGCCACTAATTCGCAGTATCCATGACATGATGTCTATGTCATCCAAACTAATTAGGCAAACAGGTTTTAATAAGCTATGATTAGTAAAATTATCTCCAAGAAGAATGTAATTTCTCAGAAAAAACCATTACTGGTCTAAATGGCTCTCAGTTACCCTACATATATAGCCACGATCTTAACCCGAACCAAAATGCGACACAGACAGGAAGGCGAGATCGTACTTCTACAATTCACCTACATTTGTTTTCGAGAAAATACGTTGAGACGCAGAATACGGTTTTGCTCAGTCTATTTATTATATATTATACATACTGCATACCGAAATTTGATTTAGAATTGTGGCGCCTTCATCGAAGTTAACCTAAAGCATAAGAACATACTACATTTATATACACATATGCACACAGGTAGCTACTGAGTTGCACGTACTCTTTTATGTTGTTAATAAAATATGTCTAGAATATCCCATCCCCATTTCTTTTGGCTACATCTTCAATTTTCTGTAGTAATTGGATTTGTTTTCCGGGACAAGGTCATTAACTCCACGCCCAACCTCCCCTCTTTTTGCAGGATTACAGCAGATTAGTACACAATGCGAGGGCAGTACTTCTATGTGATCCAGAGACGTGATTCACCACCAAAAGCATTCCCAACAGGCCTCAGATTTCCGCCGACAACTGCCTTCTCTCGATGGCACTGCAGATTACATGGAGAAAAAGGACAGGCAACGAGGAATTCTGACAGGCCGCAAATCAACTAAGAACCTATCATTCAACATATATGAAGAAGGAAATAGAGATGGACTAAACATATGCTGAGAAGACTGTTGAGTGGCGCCACGCCCTTCAGAGAAACACGAGTGGGAAATAGCAAGTTGGATGTCCAAGGGTGACACGAAGGAGATCATGTGAAAAAGAAACGAAAGCTGGTGGGCATTCATGTGCGACTGGCCAAATAAGACAGTAGGGTGAGATGGAGATTTACTGTTTGGAATGTGGCGACTCGAACTACTGCACATCGGTGCAGAATTCTCTGTCGAAAACAGACAGATTTGCTGCTGAAGCCCTAGGTTGCACTCAGAACCCAAGGGAAGAATGATAATGTAATGATACTGGATGAGATAGAAAAATATGTATCACAAATTGGTAGACGTTAGAATTCATGGACAGTTAAATTCCGTCATAGCAGTGAAATAGTCAACTAGATCGCCTCGAAACCTGAAAGTGGTGAGTTAGACTATCAGATAGGCGATTTTCGCGCACTGCTAAAGGGCCCAAACCAGAAGGAAAAAGCTGTGCTCTTCGTACTCCTCGTTCTGCAATAGTTAAATCTAGCTAATATCATTTCATGATCTAACCTCTAATTCAAAAGCGTTTGAAACACATCTTTAAAAAATACGATAATTTGACAAAATGAACCCACAATGATACACGCTTGGTTATCGGCTTTGATACGTGCTGCCTGAACACGTAATTCAGAACATTCTGCCTCCAGAGTACTGATACGAGCACGTAGATTTTCTGATTCTTGTGTATGTTCTCGTGAAGAGCGTGACTGCAAGACAGAAAAGGCAAAATAGACGAAAATTATCACTTAACAAAAAAAACCGGAATTTCAATTGATTTCAATGCAAAAATGACCAATTTTTTAGACATCTCAGTTGAAGGCGTGATAATAAAGTCGTACTAACCAAACAATTTCCGTGTTACCATTGATAACTCATCGAAAGTATTTGATGAATACAAAAAAACTACCCTTCTATTTTTTATTCTCAAATAAACGCGCCAAAGTCTCCAGTTTGCTGAATTATACTTCAACCAATCCTTGGTTGCAGTATAATATATTCTGAGATAGACAAATATTTATTCATTTTAGACTTCCATTGTGAATTTAATTGAAGGATGGCAGTTATTAAACCCCTGTAAGATTGTATCTTCTTACCATCTTCAGAATAATCAATAACCAGTTGATAAATACAAATCAGCAAAAAGGTTCCTTCTTGCTCTTTATCTCTGTTAGCACCATCTCCATCACCATCGCTACCCACCACCAACAACAACGAAGACGATGACAACAACAGTATACATCACTTAAACTCTCTCTCTCTCCTGCCTTATCTCTAGAGCGTCTGATGATGACGGAAAAAAGATGAATACACAAACAAACAATCAAAACAAATCGAATAGTTATCGATCCGAGAAAGATCACATCTTATAAATTAAAATAATAAACTTCTTTAAGAGGGAAAAGAAAACTAACAACAAAATTTAATCAAGTGGAGTCCATGTGATATGGACATACACATATGCAGTATTCCTTTTTCTTTCTCTTCTCTTCTTTTTTTAGTGTTTAACAAGAAGAAGGAGAAGAAGAAGTCACGCTGTCACTAATTGGTATCTCTTTTTTTCAAAAAATTTCACATTACACAATTATCTATGTTTAGATTTTATTTCATGAAAAGAAAAGATAAGAAAATTTTAATTAAACGATAATAATAATAATAAGAGCAATAACACATAGAAAAACATGATCGAAAGTATAACCACTTTAGTCATGATACAAAAAGGATGTAATCAGAATGAAAGCAGGAATTGGTAAAGACCAAAGATCACTGATTATACTAACACTTAAAGCCATTGATACACACAAGAATAGAACAAAGAGATGCAAAAATGAATCGTTCGCACTGAACACATTGTATTCCACTGTAATATCGGAATGATTGACTTCAGTTTTGTTGATATTCACCACAAGTAAAATAATCTCTATCTGTAATTTCACTTTGACGGTGGAACAGAAGCCATCGATTGACGCAAGATGTTATCAGGTTTTATTAAATAACTTTCCCGCTAACAAAAAAGTAAATTATCTATATCCAATAGCCTCAGGGTTTTTCCATTACTGTGTAGCTGGAAATAGTTAAAACGGACGAATGTTGCATGTTCAACAGACGAGCTAATTTACAATAAAGCATATATCTAAAAATTATACGACTGGTAACGGTTAGTGATATATACGACGTCGCACATTTCGTCCTATTTAGGATTAGTCAATCGAATGTACCTCCATCCCCGGTGAGTGAAGGAGTCCCAATTGAGACTAGACACCAGTGCCCTTATCCATTACGCTGGTGAGCCACTATTACATAATGTCCGTATCGGTTGTTACTTATCGAAATAAATCAACTAGGAAATTCAAAATCATTTGAATAAAATAACGTGCGGAATATGTAACTAGTAAATGCTACATTACAATTTGAACAGACACACGCAAACACAGACACGAAGCTCGGCAAAAGACCTTAGGCAAGTTTCTGCGTCAGCTTTCCGAGCATCACTGTTATCTTAAGATGATAATATTGCTAGGAAAGATTATCTGGAGAAAAATACCCACTAAGACATACAAATATAGACTGAACGTTTCAAAATGACAGCAACCACCATCACCAAGGCAACTGTTTTGCTTATAATACACTACAATAAATGAAGGGAAAAGCAATATAACTTTTAGATGGAGACTAAAAATCTCTTATCGGATAGACATACTACGCAATTATGCTTATAAATTATTGAGGAGACAAAACACACGCTTCAATGAAAATTTTAACATTACTGATTCGGCTCTTTTAGCTGAGTCAAACCGGATACACCACTGATTAGCTCGATCCCAAACGATCGAAACAGCTATTCGGTGTTTAGATCATATTGATCTCCCTAGCAAGTAATACTGGTTGATATGAGTGGTAAGTAACTACTCATTTCAATCAATAAGTAGTACACAGTTCCACGCAAATATGCTTGCTTTCTTCACTACCATTTATTCTATCAAATCGATCACACGTTGTGTTCTGAAAAGCTTCGTTTCCAAAGGAAACTATGGTGAAATTTCCCCCCTCGAACTCTGTACATTACAAATTGTGAATAAAACATTACATAAAAGATGAGGTCAGCGTGTGTGTAGACATGCGTACACAAAAAGGAATAATCACCATATTCACACAAAAGTCTAGGGATGAAAGCAAGCGGAACCCAGATTTATCTGTCAATAAGAAAGCACATTATAGAAATAAATCATAAGATGAATACTCAAAAAAACACGGAAATCACCGTGGTCAGAGAAAAATGAGCTCACTGAAACGAAAGAATTCTTCATTACTTAGTAATAAAACAATGCGTTATTACTTATGCAGGCAATTTTTATCATCTGAGTATATTGCTATAAAAGTTGTGGTTGTAGATTAAGTGTCATTCTTCTGTCATCATCCTCCTTACCATATAATAGCCTAATACTTCCTGTGTATTGACTGACCTTTTCAATTCCTCACTTTTTGTATGAGTTGATTTAAAAACTGAGATCGAATTCTTTATTTACTAATGATGCCGTCCGAATCGATCAAACCGGATTTGCTCAAAACTTTTAAAAACAAAAAATACACCCTCCATAGATTACTGTCAATATTTTTTTATGTAGCTGGATGATAGTGTACAGTATGAAAATGAAAACATCTTGTGAAGTGGTCACTAACATTAAGCTGCAATTAAACACAGTTATTAAGGTTTTAATGGTGTTTCAGACTCCCAACTATCAATCATTAGTCAGTCATTTAGAACCCCGACCAGAGGATAGTACACAACATCGTTCACCTGACATTCATCTTTGGCTATTTATGTGTATGTAGTATGTATGCATAATGTTGTCAACATTAAATGCTTACTGATAAGATGTTCAGATGGTTTCCTTTCTACGTTTCTACTTTGATGAAAATGCATGCCTTTTCGGATTCGATAAATGATCTTAACTTAATACTTGTAACAAAAATATATCAATTCACTGTTGTAAACAGGTATCAAAATATCAAACCACCAGAAACTGTATTCTTTAGGCTTTCTAACTATCTGTTTGGTCAGTGACCTGATCCAGAATTCATGAGCTATTGGATCGGGTCCCAGTGGCTTAATGGTATACCTTGTAACTAGGAGGTCCTGGGTTCGAACCCCAGTGGGTGCGTACCGATCAAGGGTTCCAAACTAGGATGAAACAGCTATCCAGCACTCCCAAAAGTTTTCCAATGATTCTCTAACTGATCCGTAATTAATACAGAATAGAAAATGAGAGCAGTGTTAGCTGACAGACATGCGCACACGTACACACGGAAGCCGTACATTTTTGGAGGGAGGACTAACACACAATTATAGTAAAATTGATAAGTTATTTTTGGTCAGTATGCAAGTGCTCTGCTACGATAATAATAATGAGTAAATAATGATGAAAGCGGCAGTCCCATTTACTACTAACAAGAAGTCCCATCGGGTTGGTGTAAGTCACTGATTATCCCGATATACAAGGGAGACAAAGTCTTCCTGTGATAATCAGAGGGATTAGCCTGATTAATATAGTATCTAAAGTTCTAGGCTCAATAATCGTGCGTAGACTAAGTGGTGCTCGGGAGGCACAAACACGAGAGAGCCAGGCGGCGTGCTTTAGACCAGGAAGAGGGTGTATTGATCATATCTTCACCCTGCGACAGATTCTAGAACATAGTCATTCCTACCGGCGTTCAACAATCATATATTTATTGACCTAAAGGCGTCATTCGATTCTGTCGATCGAGAAGTTCTCTGGAGATGCTTGGCTGTAAAGGGAATTCCGAGAAAATATATTGCGCTGATTAAGGCACTCTACTCTTACTCATATAGCCAGGTGAGGGCTTACGGCGAGCTGTCATCTGAACTGATGACGACCAGTGGTGTCCGTCAAGGATGCCCATTATCCCCACTTCTATTCAACTCCATCATAGATGTACTAATGGACTTAACCCTAAGTGACTTCAGCGACTCAGGGATTGACTTGCTACCAGGGACTAATCTCGTTGACTTAGAATATGCAGACGATATAGTCCTTCTAGGCGAAGACGCTGACAAAATGCAGAGTCTTCTACACACCTTGAGCCGTAATCTACGAATGTTTGGCATGCGATTTGCTCCCGCCAAATGCAAGATGATGTTACAGGACTGGACTACACCGACTCCTAGATTAGAAATAGGGAGTGAAGTGGTAGAGCACGTTGAACACTTCACTTATTTGGGAAGTACCATCAGCCAGTGCCAACGGGTTGATCTCTGACGAAATCTCAGCACGAATACAGGGGGCTCGTTTCACATTTGCCAGTTTATGCCGACTCTGGCGTAGACGAGATGTTCGACTATCGACCAAAGGGCGGGTGTACTGCTCATCAGTCCTCTCCGTCCTCCTTTATGGTTGTGAGACCTGGCCACTCAGAGTGGAAGACATGAAAAGATTAGCTGTCTTTGATCATAGGTGCCTGCGTTCTATTTCCCGTGTAAAGTGGCATAATAAGGTGAGCAACATTGAAGTTAGGCGTAGAGTTCTAGGTAAACAGGGGAAATCAATCGACGAAGTCGTGAAGTTACAAAAACTGAGATGGTTAGGACATGTGTTACGTATGCCAAGCCATCGCCTCCCTCGACGAGCAATGTTAGCGGATATAGGGTCAGGCTGGAAAAAAGCTAGCAGCGGTCAAACAAAAACTTGGCACCAATCAATGAAATCTACAACAGTTGGTCTAAGCCACGTAGGAAGGTGTAGACTTCCAGGCTGGGGTTCTCGGGACGGTAAAAATCTATGGTTGGAAACAATTGGTGACATGGCTCAAAATCGTTCTCAGTGGCGCAGATGCATCAACTCCCTGTGACTTATGATCTTCAATGAAACTGTTTTGTTCTTCGTTATTACTCCTTTGTCTCACACCTCTGCTCACTGTTTCTATTATGCTTTTCTTGTACTTTCTTCTCTTGCTTCGCGTGCTACACGGAATGTGGCGACTTGAACTTCCGCACATTCGTGCAAAGTTCTATGTCGAAAACAGACAGACAGACTAACAAGTGCCGATTAATTATACTCAACAGTATGGTATAGATTTAGAAACTTTCGGTACAAAACAAAATATATGAGATGATATCCTGGAGATTAACTAATGAAATCTGAAAGTGAATAAAATAACAACATCAACATAAATAAGGACACAAAAACTCACCAAAATTGACTGCATATGCTGTCGTTCAGCTTCTAATGCACGACTGGATCGTGCATCAGCCTCTTTTAAACGTTCTTCTAGTACAGTGACTTGAGCGGTTAAACGAGCATTCTCCTCTCTTAAACGATCTAAACGAGTTTCACTTTCAGAACTTCTGCCAATTTTAAGATCTTGAACCCGCTCCTCCATTCTTCGCATTTGATCCTGGTAACGTGACACGAGCAGAAAAATATCACAAAATTATTCAATAAAACAACTGCAAAGAAAGTGAAAAACAATAAACACAGTGTTGTAATACAAATGAATCTTAACCATTGAAAATTGGTTTTCACCATGCATTAATAAAACATTGACTGTGACTTCTACAGTTACAAAAAAAGATGTCAAAATAAGCTGACATCAGATTTGTGGGGACGTCAATGATCTAAAATGAGACGTACTTTACAGACACATACGCACGCACACACACACGCATTTCTTTGTCGACAAACAATCTGATGGAAACAACAAATTACAAGTTTTTTGCCAGTTAACTTCTCAGTGTACACCAGTCTACTTGGTTTACATCAAGAATTAATGAATTTATGGACTGGTGCACAGTACATGTATCATTTGATACATGGTCGGATATCATGTCAGCGCCAAAGACTACACCAGCTGATAAATTTCAAACTATCCTTTTTCATCCGTAGAGTTTATCAGCAATCAGCTCGTTAAGACAGACGCAACTCACTGAATAAATGGAGTGGTCTACATATCTAACCGTCTCACTACCTGTCCTTACAGTGAAACTCGGTATAGACCAATCCTGTAGCACTTTTATGTGCCACAGAAGTTGGCACAATTTATCAGTGTCTTCACCTAAAAGTATTTTACGTATACGTACGCAAAAATCAGTAAGACCTTTCATCACGCGCCAACTCGATTTCCCAAAGACCTGTATAGACCACAGCTGCATGCATTCGTACATTTGAAATAAAGTTAACAAAAATAAGAAATAAGTCACCTCATCTCCAACAGAATCCATTATTTGCTGTCACGTCACATGACCACTTTTCACAAGCCAATAAATATCCCCTTGAATTCTGCCATAATGCTTTCATTAACATTCTTTTTCAGACCCTATGGAAAACACCTTCTGACTGAAAGACTTAAATGCAGAGTTCCGAAATTGTTGAATGTCCGTGTGTGCGCCAGTAGTCCAAAACCTATTGGAAGGATTAGTATTCCTTTAATACGCTCTGTTTTTGATGATCATTTACGACATAAAATTTTGTTTCAATCTTCTTAACAACGACCACTAACAGTGATTATGCACACATTGAAACATTCAAAGCTGTGAACCTTCGAACAATCGATCACATAATATGAAAGTTAAGTTGTGAGCAGTTGTGGAAGGAAACAACACCAAGTCTAACTTAACAAACCTTAGACATTACTTGCATGGGAGAATGGAAATATAACTGATGTGAACCTATATAAATGGGATCCAATGTATTTGATAAATAGTTTTTATGTTTCTCCACGTTGCAACATGTAGCCTCCCACAAGCAATTTATCAATTAATGCGTATGTAATGTATGTATGCATATACGACTAACATGACAAACAGACAAACTACTGACAGATTAGTTTGCGCAGTTGTTCCATATCTTGGTCATTTTACAGCAGTGAAATCAGAAAAATACACTTGGTGCAAAAATTACAGCATGCAAACAACACAATACAATGTCATATTGCTTACTCGAATCAACTCGAAATTACTCTCCATATCACCGACTAATATATCGGATTGGGAAGCGCTAGCTGGAGAATCTGGACCATGGTGTAGGCTTAACATAGGATTAGCACTGAATTAAGGCAAAAGTTTTAACAACAATTAAGCATGACTATCACACGAAAAAAATAACAATGACATTTACGCAGTGTTATTATTTTACAAAGGTGTATGCAAATTAGAATATGTGGGTACAGAATTATTCTTTTAAGTCGCGTGAAACCATACTTTAGGAAACCGTAATGAAAAGATGGCGTAGGGAAGCCTATCTCTACGACACGGATGATAATGACGATTCAGTTAGTATCACAGACCAAATGTGATACTTTTGAAGCGAGATAACTTCGCATATAACCAGCCAAACAATACAAAAGTCTAATGTTCTGTGAAGAAAAAAGTAACAGTAGAAGTGAAAATTATTCTAATAACTACACTGGTGCGTCAGACCGAGTTTCTGTATAGAACTTTGCACAGAAGTGCAGCAATTCAAATCACCAAATCCCATGTAACACACAAAGGTGAACAAAACACAGAAAAAAAAGGATTCTAAATTACTAAAATAAGCAGAAATGTGGAGAAGAAGTAAAAAAAGAAATAGTAACGTGCAAAGCCACGACGGTTCGGTGAATATGGGAGACCACAAAGACACAACCACAATGATTGACTTCCGTTCTTTATCTATGATTCTACACTTAATCTCAATATTCGTCACTAAATAATGCCACTGTATATGAGAAACACGACGCAAACATTTATGGTCAAAGACAGCTAGCCTCTTCATGTCCGCCACTCTCAATGGCCATATCTCACAGACATAAAGAAGGACAGGGTGAACTGCTTTACATGGTATGTATCTTTTGTTCGATAGCCGGATATCGTCTCTAAGAAACAGATGGGCAGGTTATTAAATGCTACACGAACCTTTTATATCTATGCTGAGATGTCGCCAACAATCAGCCCATTGGAGACGATGCAACTACTGAAACAACTGATGTGGTCAACATGTTCCACCACTTCACTTCGGTGCAGTCCAGTCCTGCAGTATCTTACATTTGCCTGGAGTGAATCACATGCCAAACATGACAAAATTTCTGCCCAAGGTGTTAAGAAAACTCTGCGTCTCCACCGATAACGACATCATTCACATACTCTAAGTCAACACGGCTGTTTAACAGACAAGTGCTCAATATGACTGTCTGCCATCGTCTACCACGATATGAAAACTAGTCACTCGGATTTTACGATCAAAGTAGTGATGAAGACAGCCAGCGAAGTTATGCTTTTTTTAAGTGGTGCGGTGATTCAGTCATTAAAGTTGAGAAGTTTACTGTGACGGAATATTATAATGTACTCCACTCCTCGCTAATTAAACAACGTCAACATCTAAAGAAAATTACTTTTAGTTTCGGTGACCAAAATACTGTCCTCAGGCGTATCTAAACCGAGTGTACTATCAGAGAAGACGACACGTGCTTTGAAATGCGTGAAAATCTAAGCTTGAAAAGTGATAAAACTATCAGAACACTATTCAATTTTAACCCCAAATACTACTACGCTTAAGTCATGAAATAAAAAGTAAACCTCCCCCTCCCATGGATCACTCGTGACACTTAAGAAACTAGTTCTTAACTATAAAGTATAAAAAAGGTGGCAGTCATTACAAAAAATGCTGCCGATATTTGAGTAGATGCCATTTATAATTACCAATGTTCAATATATTTTTCTATTAGCAGACTTGAATTATCACTATCGGAAGTGGGATTGCTGGATTTCACATCTGCACAGTAGTGAGAGGTTAATACAAGCGGATAGGAAGGGACGGAAATAATGTGATTCAAGAGAGAAGTGAAGATAAAGCATATAGAGAAATGTAATATTGCTATAATTATGAGGATAATGAATGACAATCATATGTACCACTGATGTTGTGAGTTTTCAGGCCACCGTTTGCTACTGTTTCAAATACTCTTTTCAGCAACAGAGACTATGAGTATTTAAAATTCCATAAACAAATTATTAACCTAACTTACCTCTTTTACCTAAAACTACGCCCAACTTAGATGTTGTTCAAGTAGTGGTAGTAGTAATAAAGTCAGAAGTGCTCAGAAGGAAATGATGGTCGCGTACCTAAAGTTGTCTTTCAGTCATATAGAATGACAGGAAGAATTGCTTAGCAATACATAAACCCTTTCGTGGATGGCCAAATATCTTGTCTAAGGCAGATACGAATCCATCTGACAGATGCTGGACATATCTACAAGAATTTAGTTGCAGAGCGCTCCTAAATAAGTGAAGTGAATAGCACTTGCGATCACTTCACTATCTAACCCTACACATAAAGCTGACGTTAGTGATTCCAATGGCTTCAATTTACATTTGTGAGGAATGAAACAAATGCCAACCATACGTAGATTTTCGCTCAGGAAGTTTCAGAGACAATAAATAACTTGAAACTTTGAGCTAATTTTATTTATTTCCTGCGTAATCAGTCTGTAGTATGCAATAAACGTCTCATCAAAGTTGAAAACTACCCTATTATAATGAATATTTACAGGGTTTGTTGAATCTATACCCTACTTAACACTTAAATAAATAAGACCAATCTTGAAAATCAATGAGTACTTCACAGAATAATCTACTAGTGAACAAAGACTTGATGAAAGAGCTGTCTTTCTAATCCAAGGACTTTCTTTAGTACTTATGGATAATAATGCTGAACATAAAACATCCACGGCTGTTCCTTTAACAGCGTAAGATGTTTGCCACTGGATATTTTGGATGAACTATCTACATTGATTAATACCATAATCCTACACCAAAATGCTAAGTAGTCGTTCCCTAGCCAAGTCAGGTCAACCACAATTGTCTCCTACACACTTACTAGGCTTGTATACTAAAGGAGAACCTGTAGCTATCTACACCTGCTCACACCTATTCTCCCAAAAATGGGACCACGTACTAGTTATACTGAGGGGAACAATGGTAGTTATTAGTTTTGTTATGTAACACCCAAAAATACATCATAGAGTAAAATGAACAAAATAATAGAGTACAGTCAACCAGAACCCTTCTTACTGTATTCAAGAGAGAAAGGAGCAAAAGTAATCAGTACATGCATATAGCCCACATACAAATCCAAACAGAAGAATACATGCATAAATACACACATCTAATTTAAGCATAAAAATTAACAATTGCAATCATAATTTTCGCTGAAGCAGTATCATATGATCCAAGTGTTTATGGAGTATTTATTTCTTATATATACAATATATATATATATATATATATATATATATATATATATATATTACATGAGCATAAAATCAAACTTCTGTTTTCCTCTGAACTCCATTTATTGCTATACCTGACCAGCAAATAATATCTACTGGATGTTGAAAACAAACTCGCTTCAAAACCCGATTATACAAAAACACATAGGCACTCTATCAAATTATATGCCTGATAATAACAATTATACTCCTAATGTTCAGAATGCGTTAACAGCTACGGTGAAATCATTGGGAAAGCTATGTCACCAGTTGGAAGCGCTAAGTTTCATCGAATAGTGTTTCTCTACAATGGAAGCTTTTTCCAAGAAAAGAAAAAACAACGAAGTGGTCAAAATCCAGCGAAATAAATAAATTATACTAGCGTCAATCAATCTCTTCGATTAATTTGTACTGAATAATTTTCAATAGAGGAATAATAATGCTAGCGGATATGCGAAAATGGCATGTGACTTCCATTAATGTATATATATATATATATATATACTTGCATACATAATAGATCGAAATCGTAGCTAAGTTTTGTTCATATAGAGACATAAATACTGAGAATGATGCATCAGCTAAGGCAGACACACTTTGATAAAAACAAATCCAGTCATGAAGAAAGTAGGTATAAGGTAAGGATACACTTCTGTCGCCATCAGATACCAGTCTTGAAAATCATCTGAGGCAACTTCGACAGTGTCCACTATAGTTCAGAGAAATATATCGATGTGGGACCAATGCACGCCATTCATTGACACTTCCTTATTGTAGGTTAATGAGTACGCGATCTACCGATCTACGCACAAATATGTAAATCAAATAACGGAGAAACTCAAAAGTCAGAAGTGAGTACACGATTACACAAAATACTTCCAATACTAACTTTCTGCTGGATTAATTTAAACTTTACAATAATCTTGAAATCAAACGAATATTTGTACGTATTTTAGAGTTTATCTAATCGACGTTATTCATTACCCATAACGTCCACGTTGATTACTAATGCTAAATAAAAGACAGTCACCTACTGAGTGCAGACAATTACACAATTATAAAAGGGTTATTCGGGTTTCATCAGTACGTGGGTGTACTCTTGGATACCCAATCAACCCCACTATACTACACTGGAGTAAAAAAGGCTAACTATACTATGCAGACGCAAAGGCTTAATCAGATGGAAAGGGATTCAAACCCGGAATCTGGCAGCTAAAATTTCAGTGCTTAAGCCAATGAGTCAATACTGCAATTATTATTATTATTGCTCCCTTGGGTTCCTAGTGGAACATAGGACTTCAACTACACGTCTCCATTTGCTTCTGTCTTCTGCTGCTGTACTTTTCACCTGCATCCATGTTAGTCCATACTCCTTCAACTCCTCTTCACACGATCTCCTCCATGTCACCCTTGGACGTCCCACTCGCCGCTTCCCTTTCGGGTTCCACTCGAGGGCTTGACGCGCGATGTCACCCGGCGGTCTCCTCAGTGAGTGTCCGATCCATCTCCACTTTCTCCTGCATATTTGTTGGGCGATTGGTTCTGCAATACAATGCTCATATTGATGTCTGAAACATTTTATTTTATTTATTTTTGATTACAGCTTGATTCCAAACTACTTTTTTTGGTACAAGTATGGAATTTTCAGCATGGATATCGGTAGCCCAAATTTCTCAGGCCGACCATCGATATCAGGTGTGCGTCGGCGTGGGTTCGAACCCCGGACCATGTGCATGGTCGGCGAGAGTCCTAACCACTGTGCCACCGACGCCACTCATTCCCTGATAAAATAATTTTGAAAATATTTACCCTTTTTAACAAGCGACAACAAAAATGAGACAATTGCCCTACTGATCTTTAAAGCTAGTTTAAAGGCAATAGTAAATTGAAAGCTTGTTAAATATCTGCATCACACACGTACAAAATACATTCCACCTACATAAGATAAAGTATTGGTCATCTCTAAATAACTCCATATGAATCGAATATCGGGAGGTAGTCTCGGTCCTAAGTGTAGTGATCAAAATCAATTGATTAGGTTTTCAATGTTGCCGTTAACTTCGACTTCGCGGCACTGATAAGAATTGTAATCTGAAAAATTATATTTGTCTCTTATTAAATAGTTCCTAGTTCTATTGTAGAGTTAGAAAACAAGCAGGTACACAACAGACAGACAAGCCTGGTACTGTTTTTGGCTTCCTGCCGATTGCCTCCAACCATCTAATACCATCAAATCAATGTTCACCGTGATAGCGAGCTAGCCAGAATGGTGGTCACATTACCAATCAGAGGACTAGACGCATCACACTAGTTACTAGTGTTAAATCAAAATATCCACTACAGTCCTACAGGAGGTCAATCGCGGACCCGAATAGCTCAGTGGTAACGTCTCTGACTGCAGCACTGGGTGACGCGGGTTCGAATCTCAGAAGGGACATGAGTTCCTTCAAGGTTGTAGATACGCCTTGCTGACGAGTGCCAACTAGCACGAAACCTGGGTCCAAGGCTTCCTGCTGATTGCCTCCAACCATCTAATACCATCAAGTGATCGAAACTGTTACACAGTGTAGTAGTGCATCGACAGGAAAATGGAGAGAAATAAACAGTTACAATATTCGACGTCCAAAAGAAAAAATAACACAAATATAGAATAGGGAACAAAGATTTACATGGAAGTTGCACTCGTGCCACTGCCTAAAAGCTTCTTTGCTGTATTTTCCAAAGTCCACCTTCATAAATTTCTACTCTACTCTAGCTGACTAAATCAAGGGGAATATACTTGTCTACAACCTATTTTTTACATTTATTCCGCGACAATACAAGACAGTCAACATGAGGCTTCACTTCGATTATTTCTCCTTCAATTAACACGCCTCAAAACCAGTTTAGCAGTAGACTAAACCTAGCAACGGTCATTACATGAGACTACTTGTGCAGTTAACAAGTTTCACTATTCATAGTGTACTGCTTTCTGTCTTAAATAATACGCACTCAAGACAAATATGTATAAGAATAAGCACGAATATATCACAACATAGTGTGTTAAATAAATGAAGTTACTGGAATCAAATAAAAAGTGAAGTTAAAGTAACCAGCTACTAGCAACAAAAAGAAGTAAGACGAAAAAGAACTGCACTGCTACAATGCATAACGAGTACTCTCGCACTAGCAATATAAAATTTAAATAATGGCAATCGTAAGACAAAGACAAGCGCAGATAGCATTTGCATGAGTTGTTGTTTAATGATCTTTTTCAAACATAAACTTTAGGCCTACAACAAATTCTCTGTAGGTATTTCTCCTGACAACAATCCTATAAGGAAGTTTTCTTTCACTCTCTCAATTTAGCAGTCAAATGTAAAGCCAGCTCACAAACAGAACATATTTTTGAGAAAAACAATGCAAAGAAATTAAACCATTCAGTATCAGACTGGAAAAGTCATTCAGCAATGGAAAATACACTACAAATCTGATGTAGCCTAAGCTATAAGAAATCTTGAATGTGTAGAAGTTTACTTTTTAAAGGGTATATATATATATATATATATATATATATATATATATATATATATATATATATATAGAGAGAGAGAGAGAGAGAGAGAGAGAGAGAGAGAGAATGACTACAGAACCCATGTGACACTACCACGCACGACGATCATGATAATAATAATAATAATAAATAACAATAACAATAGTAAGAGTGTTAATAGCAATGACGATTAGAACGATGAGGATGAATCAATCAAACAATTGTAGTATTAGTAATAGACAGAAGGAATCAACAAAAGAGAAAAAAATGGTCGGCCGGCTATAAAGTTACAGAACCACTCTGTCAATAAATTGAAGAACCAAACACACGTTTAAATATTCAAAGGACACTGCGAACAGTTTGTGGTGATATGTGAATAAGGAGTTAGTTGCTTCAATTAATAATTAGTATGTGTTAGGCGATGAGTATGTTAGCAAGAGAAGAATGATCACTGTGCTCGTCAAGGGGAGCAGCAAGTTATCAATAACAATGGAAATTAATTCCACCAGCAAAACGAGTGTGAAAAGATTACTGATTTCTACGATAAATTAGCATCTTTTGATGGATGGATAGATGGATATTTTTTCCGGTTTGTGATCGCTCAAAAATGCACAATCAATCATTTCCATAACTGAAGTTAACCTGGGCAAAACGAGTTATGAATGAATACAATACATACCACCCATATTTACGAAAAAGTAGATATTTGGAAATATATGGAAATCTGGATAAGAATACTATCTCCATCACACAATAACACATGCAGAGCTATGTAGCTGGCACTTAGAGACAGCCTCGATACAATTAGCAAAGACAAACACAAACTGAAATAATACAATAACATTAAATGTGACATATATAAGAGTGTTTAAGGGTTATTCAGATATTCAACAGTTGTAACCGTCTCTTCATGCTGAAAATTACTGATGAATTCAGGTTTTAACCTTTTCCCAACCTACCCAACTGAAATAAACCATATCATAAGTGATGAGCGTTTTGCAAGCACATACAAACAACGAATGATCGTGCACTTCTGCTTCAAAACGAACAGCTCATACTCAAGACTGAAATTCGCTCACAATTTTTAAGGAATCAGTTGCATTTAATAATTAGCAAAAGAAGTAAAGCATCCTAGAAATGAGTGCATAGTGACTGATTCACTGATAAGCATGCAAAACAAATGAAAGCAACCAAATATCCAACAGTTGTTTAGACAGACAGTGTGACAAGGAAGCCAAATAGAGGAAGTAGAAAATCGAAATAAGAAATACCTTCCTTTCTAACTACATGCACTTACAAATAGCCCAGACTGTACCTAACAAAGGGAACAGAGTTGAAACTACAGCATTCCAATTAAAAACAAATAAACCACATTTATAATAGTATCAGTATATACACCAGAAGAAAAATAGAGGATGTAGAAAGTCTTAATGATCCACTTCGATAAGTGTAGAGTGATATGTTATCTGGAAATTTTTTTTGTTTCTACTTTTTAAACCGTTTATGTAACAGTCTGTTTAACTTAAAGGGTGAAACACTAACCACTCCATAAATACAACCAAATCAATGATGCACTTATATTTTGCCGAGCTATGCACGCCTTAGCTATACTATTTTCTTAAGGGATGCTAACACAGCTTATGCCATTACTAATGTTAATATTTTATTGTTCAGCATCAGTGAAACAATCCACACTGTGACTAAAAACACCTTCCTATCAAGCAGTTATTCAACTGACACAAATGGAACTTTTCATCACTCATGTACTTATTATAAGCCTCCAGTCTACCTGTGGATTGAGCTTATGGTTCACTACTGGTCAAGACAATCATTGTAACCACAGAAAAGTAGAAGCAGAAGTAACAATATGAATAATAAACCAACCACAACCAATTCACTACAGCAGCAGTGAGTAGTAAGTGCTAACGGAGTCTTCAAAACCAGTAAATAAATGTATTGTTTTGTTTTTTCCAAAATAAAGAAAGTAAAACCTAAATAAAAACAGCTTACTTACCTATGTTTCGGCCAACTGCTTCTAATTTCACCCCGTTGTAAACGGGTACTAATTGACAGTATGAATATGTGTGTTTGTTTGTTTGTTTTTCATTTATTTATGGCATAGTTATCACAAAAAAATTGTGACCATTTATACACATGCATACACACATGCAACACATTAAATGACAAGATCGACACCAAAATGATCAGAAAAATGGGTTAAACAGTAGGAGTAGTAGTGCATGTGAGATGGTTAGGTTGTAGTAGGTGGTCGTTGGTGTTGTTGTTGTTGATGATGATGATATTGATATTGTTGGTTTTTGGCAATAGTGGTGGGATCGAGCAATACAGGGTTAGGAATTAAATAAAATAAGAAAAATTCACATTTGATAATTAATTACACAGCATTAGCGTTAAACAATGCATTAATTCTTTTTTTTTTAGAAAAAACATAAAAGAAATACTGTTTTACTACAAAATCAAACATGCCTATTACAGCGAGACAGTTTACCTTGACGAGAAACTGTAGACAATATACACACAAAGAAATATTAAGATTAATACATGAACACTGATATAACGAATTCAGTGGGATATGAAAAGCTTTGTCTATAATATACTTTATATCTAAACTCTAACAATTGCTACATGAGTACAGTGATGGATAATAAGATGTATTACTGTAACTGACTATTGTAACCAGACTGCCACAAAAATGATTATAAGTAAAGCACTCCTGCATATGGTGACACCAAATGCCTTCACATGATAATAAATTTCTTTTCAATAAATAAGTCACAATGGTGATAAGTAGGGATTAAGAAAACTACCTACATGAATACCCCTAACTAGTACAAAAATAACAACAGTAGTAATAAAAATAATATGCAGAGCAGGAGACTATGATTGTAAATCAGGTTTAAAAAGGAGTTATTTTTGCCGCAATTTACTGAACTCTAAACAAGTGATACACAGGTTTAAAAGCCACAACCCAATAGTAAATCCTGGACAGAAGTATAGTACATTATTAATCTTAATAAAATACGTGGTGATTGCTCAGTCACCGGTGAAAGTATAAATTATGATTATTTTATGTCTCCAATAGACTGTAGAGGCCGAAAACCTTGTTTATTGCAATTAGATTCATAATACAGACCAGTTATATAAATGTTCTTCACTATCATATAATTCGGTTTCTTTTATTAAGATGACAAAAATAATCTGCGTACGATCCCGTGAAGTTCGTTTTGGAAATCCTAACAGTCCTCTCTCTGGTATATCTACAGATTCCTTGTCACTTGCAACTAAAATGCTCAGGTTAAAATACCGCCAAACAAAAACTTCTGCTCAGACAACTGGGCAGTATCCTCACCCCTCACATAATAAGTACGGCTCAAAACCCGGTACATCAGCGATTTGTCCCAGGTAGCTAATACTCCAGACTCTTAAAGAAACGAATATAAGACTGAATGCGAATTCACCATGTACTTATTTCTCAGACTTCTTAGTATCCCCCATACACGTGTGATGGATTGAATCTAAAATCATACGCTACATGACATGCCGAGCAGTATGTTAAGTGCATATAGACTCATCCAGCAACTTACGTTTGCGGCACAGCCTCTTTAACGATAATCAACAGTACTTCTAACCGTTAATGACCAATATGACTATATTATATATGTGTTTCTATTGTGAGGCTTTCGTTGCAATTCTTGAGATTATCATGAAGATGAAAGCATTAGGACTAAATCCACTAGGCGAATGGAACAATGCTGGAAGCCTCCCACTTTAGCCATAAACATTCCTCATTATATCAAATATCTGCGATAATGTATCATACTCCTACAAAACACGTTTTCCTCCAATCTTGAAAGCACTTGAGGCGAGACGCTATGATGATTCAAAAGCGTACAGAAGACTTTTCAATTACAAAGCACAATATCTATAATTTTATTCGGTTGCAACAAAAACAAATGCTCCGACACAATGATTGTACAGACTGCATTTGCATCAGTAAAGACCACAAGCCCAAAAGAAAGGCGAAATGCATGTAAGAACAATCAAGTTGAATCCATGTTTTCTCCAAACAGATCGGTAAGCAAAGTCTACGTTAAAAAAAAACAGCTCATTTCTGATTTTTTCTAAACATGCCTAATATTTAAAAACATTATTGTCGTCATCAGCAGTGATATTATACTCCGAAATTGTTTTTTTCATTTAATGATTTATATACTCATATGTAATTAAAAGACGGTGCAAGCACAACATACTACAATATACATTTGTTTTTTGCAAGCATACGATAAAAGTAATATTCATTTGAATAATCACGACAAGAAAACATTAAATATCACATAGGCTTACTTGTGCGGTCCATCAGCACTTAAGGCAGAATCAGTGTCTATATCGAATAAAGTTGGATCCTGCATATGCACACCACTATCATCGGTCTGAAAAGAAAAACAAGAAAAAATTATATCATTACTCATATATAAGTGTGTGACTAGCTATAGAAACCAATTTAGCTCATTTAAAAGTCTGCCAAAAATGTATGCTGATTTCTGTCAGTTTGGAAAAGAGAAGTAGAAAAATTTAAACTTTAGGTAACCAAATATCAACTTAACTCAATAATAATAACTGAGTGTTGCATGACGAGATTTCACATAGACCTGATCTTTCCATACGAAATCAAGCCAGAGTACATAAGTGATAACCCAGAGACACCTAGGTAGAGTTTCCGATTTCAACTTTAATATCAATATAGACAAATAATACTGTCAATCGAAGTTATTAAGTCTTCGTGCAGAGGTTTCGTTATTCTAAAACCAAATTACAATTACCCAAGACCTAACAATGACCTTCCATATCTGATAAGGGTTGTGGAAGTTGTGTGTAATCTAGTAAAAGACAATGCCCTAGGACCTTATGGTTCGACTCCAAAGGTACTGAAAAACAATTGTGATGTACTAATCACCTGAATAACAAAAGTTTCTAGTTACCGTTTCGGAATCTGAGATGATTCCATCGGACTGATGTAAATCATTGATCATCCCAATTAACCTCGCATATCTGAGCCTTCTTTCATCATGAAATAAAAAGAATTGGGGATGTTTAAGATTCCAATGATAAACAGTGAATAAATGTGCCACTGTGAACAGTTATTAGAGATTTTAGCGAGAGTTTTCAAACATTAATTCTTAACATCCAGTTGACAGTCAAACAACCCACTCCCACCGCGTAATATTTGCATCACATCAATAATTAGTAATCAAGTGGATCGGTGCTAATTTTTGTTCAAACCGAAATAACTACTATATATATATATATATATATATATATATATATATATATATATATATATATATATATATATATATATATATATATATATAAGTCAACAGATCCTGAATATAAAATATGTTTCACCAACTTCAGCTTGGATACTTCTGTGTTATTGAAAGTTTTTACGGTATGACTTATAGCCCCGTTTACAAATTTTGAGGAAATGAGTTGAATCACTAATTACTCTTATATACCCTTGATTCATATGACCTTAAGTTGATTGAAAAAACATGAATAAAAAAGAGTCAAAATAAGTGGTAAACCTTAGCAGCGAACCAAAACTGTGAGTGAACCTGAAACTAATTAACTACTGAAACAGTAAGAGATGGAATGAAGATGAGGTTCATTGGTTTAAGCACTCCAATTTCAGCTAGTTGATCCTGGGATCCTGAGTAAATGGATAGTATCGTCAACTCCTAAACAATTGTGGTTTATAGCCTGGCACATGGAAAATTTCCGGAATCCTGAATTCAAACCAGCTAAATACTGAGTAACGAAATCACAAGTTCACTTTCCAACAGCTAAGGACGTAAATAAGTGCACCGATCATCCTAAAAAAGTAAGATGTTAAATACTAGCACTTCAGACACTAGGAGCTTTAATATATAATAATTAATAAAAGTGGTGGTATGAATATTTTTTATTTTTAGTCTACGATTAAGCGCATCAGTTATCTGCTATCCAACTATGCATTTTCCACTAAGTCACACGATGCAGAGCAGTGGTTAACTGATGTCTGTATTCAACTATCAACCATAGGAGCAAGCAGTTGAGTCCACCTTTATCCAACTCAGGGCAGGCGTGCGACTTACCGTAATTTCAAACAGTAGGAGACGTCCATTGTTTGACATATTCAATACAAATTTATAGCAACAAGCAAGTACATCCAATAACTCATCAACTTTCCAAACGTATGTAAGTTTCTACAACACCAAGAAAGTATCTGCTGAAATAGTTAACTGCTTGGTAAGTCTGCGCATTTAAAATAACTGTAAGGGTAAATGCTGACTCAGTTTATTTTCTACACACTTATCCCTCATCTATTTAACGTTGCTGAGTAGAATGATGATAATTCTATTGTAATAAATCTCAGTAAGTATCGATTCCAACAAACTTACACTGTTAATATTGTGATTGGTGATAAGAATAATCCAACCAACTTTATTGTGAATTAAATTCAGTAAGAATGGCTTTTGATAAGCGTCGCAAAATACAAAGTGCCCTATATACTCTTGGGAATTATGGGTAACAAATGAACGAGTTAGTTGTGCTGGAAAAACTAGAATTTAAATTCTGTGAGGAACACTAATTTAACCAGATACAGAAACAAAAGTTTTTTATATTTATCCGAATACACCATATTGATCATAGAACAATAAAAAATATTAAAATTTATGTCGTTTAAGTTCTGCATCTAGCAGCTTATACAGTGAGGTCAAAGCTCCAAAAAATCTTATAAAAAAGGAAAAGGAAATGCAAGTGTAGACAGGCTACTGTGATTACTTTGAAGTCAATTCATCTTGAATCTACAATTATGAGTCCTTAGGATTTCAACGGCTCAGCTAACACACCTTTCCTATCAATTTTCTAATTCGTGAATGCTATACCTAATCAGTGCGGAGTAAGGTAGTCTAAACCTAACGTAGCCTACTGACCACAGTGAATTAAAATCTAAAACCCCTCCTGGTTAGTTTCATTTGAAATTCAATTTTACTAAGTCGCAACATTTCGCTAAGAGGATCCGAGAGCCTTGAGATATTATAAACCTGCTAATAAAGAGGACAGTGTGCCCATGAATGCGTTTGTGTGTCAATTAATCGAAATATAACAGACCCGCACACCCCGAAAATTGTACATCCCGACTTACCCTACGGTGGTCCGCAGCTGACAGTGTTACTAATACAGAACCAAACCAAAAAGCTAGTTCAGACAGGCCATGTGTGACCGGCCTCAATCAGTTGTCCGGTGGACTCTGCAGTCACTTAACACTAATTCTCTTTCTTTTCAAGGTACCCGAAGAAAAAACCAACCTCCACGGTGTGGGCAACCGAGAAGTAACAGCGTCCCACGCACTTCCAAAAGTACACGAAGTCTTCATCATCCTGACTACCCAGCTACTCAGTCCAATGAATGGGGCCAGATCCGAAACTAGAACTCAATCGATGAACTTCAGTTTGGACGTAAACCACAGATACATTCTCTACTAGCATTCGACTTACGTACTATCAGCTCATCAGATGAAACAAATAATGGCAATCGCTTAAATCAAATATATTAAAAGCTTCATTTAATAAAGACACCAGAAAGCATATGTCCAATGACCTTTGGATAAATTATAATACTTCTAGATTAAATGCTATCAAGTGTTATATACGTCAAAAAAGATGCCAGTAGTCATATCAACAATTCTAAACTATGCGCCGACAATGCCTTTTTATGGTAAATGGACATTTTACCTACCCACTATGTTCTGAAATAACGCTGGTTGTGCTTAGAAAGAGCGCTAGGTGCCTAATTAATGCGACGAAATCTTGAAAATAAGATTACCATCTGAAGTAATGCTAGTCAGTGCTGACTGTGGGCTGAAGGTTGAAAATAAGCCGAACAAATTGCCATTATGTGCTCAGTTAAGTTTTTTCGTTATAAAGCAAAGCTAGTCAGTGCTTAATAAGTGCTGTGAGGGCTGGAACAACGCTGATAAGCAAACCCAGTAGGTTCTGATCTACTCCTGGAAGTGTCTAGAAAAAACAGGGTGTTGAACTATGCTAAAAACCAGCAGTGAAATTCTAGTATGTGCGCTAAAAAGCCATTTCAGTACAGATTCAGTATTTACTCACTAGAGGATGTTAAGTGATCATAGAATTATCGAAATTTAATTAAGCATTACAATAGGCTTGGGAAACAAAGAAAATGGGGATAAGTCTCACCTTATTCTCAAGTCCGTCCGATAAGAAACTAGACCTCACGGATGTATTTTGGCCCTCCAGCGTTCTAGCAAGGTTATTCGAGTGTTTTGAATTCTGATCATCATCAACTGACAAAATAAATTCGTTTACAAGGACACCTACGAGTGATATTTCCCTCAAAGGCCTTCTTGAAGTCTTCGAAATGAATAACTCCATCGTTTTCAGGGTCTAGTGCTTGTACCACTTTCATTATTTCCTGAATGCATATTCATCGATTATGTATATAGAATTACTTTAGAGGAAAACGAAGAGCGCCGTTCACCATGAGATCCACTTGAGTTGTAAAACTCCTTAAATGTCGTAACAAATTGGTCAACTGTGATATATCCTTTATTTTCGGTATCTAAGGCCTTAAAAACCAGTACTAGTGCGTCATCCGTCATTTCCAGCGTCTAAATTAGATATGTAGCCCATGCACTCAAATTGACGCGCTGTAAACGCTCAATGATTGAACCTTCAAGGACTTTCAATGGTCAGAACTAGATTATTAGTTTGGCAATTTCTGGTTTGAAAAGTGCCATATTTTTCGACTAAACATGACAAATAGGGTTAAAGTTTCACTGATCTTGTGGTGTGATCTACCTGGAAAGTGAAATGAATCCGGTTTCCATGGATTCCCACTTTATAGCGACAAAAATAATACTTCCCAATTTCAGATTTCTGCTGTACGTAAACCAAAACTACTGTTATATATTTCAACCAATACAATCTTACCCTAGAAACAATCTTTTATCAGCTTTACTTCGCTTCAAGGATATCTGGAGCACGGCATTGAAGAATTCACGAGTCATATATTTCTTCTGACAGGTAATCAGCTACTTCTTTGGTGCTATTATACTATGCTTTTAGTTTTCACTAGGCACGATGAGCATAATATTGCAAAGCTCGTCTCAAAAAAGGACAATATATGCACAATATCTGCAAAACCCTACAAGAATGCGTCTTTGAGAAGTGGATATAATCTGTTGTTTGATTGACATTGACAAAGGGGGCACTTCTATTACACCACGGTGATTCAAATACAATTTTTCACATGAAGTACTGTGAAGTGTGATCAAATTGAATTTTTCCTGATTATGTTTGGTATTTACTGGCTCGCAGAATGTATCAAACCTATGTGGGTATTATGGCGACCGTAGACTAATGATGATGATAAATTACTGGCAGGTATCCTAAGAAGGTAAAATTCTGGATATGTAAAAGGTGGCCCAACCAACTTTAAGGTTTCGAATGGAGGGTTTTATTGGTTCTACATTCGATCGACAGCCTTTATATTCATAAGGAAAGATGTAGATCAGTGTTCGTTGGATACGGACGGTTAATGGTGAGACGTCAGTTAGGAAGCACATCATTTTGCCTATCAGAGTGAATAACCCCTGTCGGGCTTTGTCGGATGATGAAGAACCAATCATATATCCGCAGGGGCTATCTCGATTTAATCACTCTCAGCATGCAGACAGCTAACGTCTTCTAACTCCCTATAAGCTACTGCTAAGTTAATTTACAATTAGTTTGGCATAGCGGTTGATCGCTACGATCATAAACCCTGAATATTCACTTAAAGCCTTTTGTCATTTAATTTGCGAGATTCATCTATTCGTGTGGAGTGCGTTTTGCACTTTCGATATGTGCATATGGTGTTTGGCTTTATAGCTAATTGTGTATCCCGATTATCATAGAAATAGCCTTTTTCGTGATCTAGGGTCCATGATTCTGAAAAATACAATCAAAGTGTGCCAACAGCTAAGTTATAGCATTGCTCAGACAATAACTATATCAAGTCTCCAATCATGAGGTACAAATCTTTTGTTTCATGCTGCCTTCTCCATTTGGCAAGAAAGCTTGTAAACTTATAGCTTATCCACCTGCCTTATACCACACTGCGGCTCCAAATTATCGACTGCCTGTTAATTTACAAGACTGGCTGATACGATGTCTATTTCAAGGGGAGACCCTTAGAGATAGATTTCCATCTCAATTCCTATGATGTTTTCAAGAACTAGTGGGCGACAGTAACTTAACTTACTTTCACTCGAAGAACTGTGAGCTTGTCTGCGTGTTTACCGAAACCAGAGAGGGCTGCGGCATTTGTTATGTGAAAACTTATGCTGGAAGACCTACGATACTGTCAAACAACGGGTTGACTCGTGAGTCTGGACCACCTGAACCGGGTGCATGCAACACTGAAGAGGAAGTATTAGACACAAACGCTGTAAAGGATGTATTTGGAAGACTGGGATATTGTGCAACGGAGTCGGAACACCATTACAACGTGAAGTAACCATTGCGATCTCCCTCCTCAAGCACTCTGTGACCAGAAACGGCTGAAATGAAGTAGGTGAGCGGAAGGAGAATGATTTCGAGCTGTGCTGACATCACGAATGTTTTCGACCTTTTACCGTAGTATGTTGAGTGGAGCACTACTAAATCTAGATCAGATAAAAGCAATGTCAGGCAGTTCGCAAGCTTCGTTGAGTTCTCAGGATTTTAACACTGGTGCACCGAAGTGTCATAGATGATGTCCTGATACCACGTTTAGGCACTTAGCATACATCACTCATCAAATATTGAATAGCAGAAAGACTCACATATATTTATTGTTGAAAACGTGGCTGATTGCTGGTTATTGAGTTCTTTGATGCATTTCCTAAGAAACTGTAGTCTGAAAAATATACCGCCAGTCATACTAGAAGTTATGCTCTGTCCGGCGATCACATCCCACAGGAACTGACTAGAGCAGAAGATTCAGTAAGAAAATTGGAAGTTCGCATGGCGAAAATCTCAATTCAAGTGTTGAATGGACTAAGTCCTGTGCCTATGGAGATAAATAGCAGAAGTCTAAGCCAGCGTGATGCGACCAGTTAATTCTCTGATGAACATCTCACCGTTATCGGTCATATATAAAACAGTGTCGTCACTTAAAACGTCTCATAAATGATTAAAAAGTGTCTACGGTCTGAGACTTCCCAAAATCTATGTCTCAACTTGTGTGAAACAGAATCAAAACTTCCTGAGATTGCCCCCGTTTTAATCAATTATATTCGGTGAGTTTTCGCCATGATCTATATGGAAGTGGACATTTTGATACTTACTGTTGGTCACCACAAGTCAAACGACTATACACTAGAGGTGTCTGTCTTCAACGCACGCAGGTGTAGCTTTTCCATTAACCTAGTATAATATACTACGACCTCTGCAGCTCTTCAATGAGGGTTTAGAGGTTGACGTGATATCTCGTTCAACAACTTCTAATTAATTTATTCTCGCGTACCAAAGACAAAGCAAAAGCCAATAATTGATCGTCCAAACCAAGAGATATATTTAGGAACCAAAACCAGCCGTTAGACGAACGCTTAGCTAGCTAGTGATCGTGCACGTGACACGACGGGTACCAAATGGCGGGGATGCTTGACCGGAAGCCTTCAGCTAAACAAGTCGACTTAAACAGTGGTGGTCAGCATCCAATGAGTGATTGCTGTGGTCAATAATTTTGGGGAATTATTTACCGCTACAGCTCACTCCCCCCTAGTGGGGTCGTGAGGACCCTAAGACAGAACCAGCCGGAAGTAAAAAAACTCGATGGTTCCCTTTCGGGTGAAAAAAATCTTCCGAGCGGCTTGGTCTTATGCCTACTGGTTTGTCTGCCTATGCTAATAGGGTGTTTGTACATAGCTTCCTGGTGTTGTTCGTTGGATTCCGTGCTTCGTTTGTTTCCCGTCCAGTGCCCGTCGCACCTGGAAAAGAAAACAAGAACGCTAAGAACCATGTCGAGGAAAATGTACGAAATGAGCTTTTTGGTTAAAAAAAATTGTGTGCATTTACTATACAGTAAAATAATGCTAAGTTCAGAACATCGAAAAAAAATACATCTAATTAATTTTTTTGTGTATGTTACATGAACTGTTGAGAAAAAAAATTTTTGTGTTCGGTGGTACTGTATATAAAAAAATTTATACGTCAAAAAAAATAGTTAGTACCACAAACGAGTGAGTTGCGTGAATCACACGACTTCGTTAAGTCAAATAAGTGTGCAAATGTTCTGGGAACCTTACGGTGCGTCCAGAACGGTTTTTCTTAGGAGGCTCAACCTTAGTAGCCAGTGGGCGAATGCCCTTGCAGTCAATAGTGTGACCCAGGAAGTCGAGTGAGTCAACACCGATTTGACACTTTTGAATATTGATGGTAACACCATGTTGGCGTAACCTGTCAAATGCCAAGTCCAAGTGCCTAAGGTGAGTTTCCTTGTCTGGACTGGCAATGAGGCAGTCGTCTAAGTATGCGTATACAAAGTCGAGACCGCGAAATACTTCGTCGATGAAGCGTTGGAATGTTTGGGCTGCATTCCGGAGACCGAATGGCATACGTAGAAATTCAAAAAGTCCGAAAGGCGTAATGATAGCCGTTTTCGGGATATCTTCTGTTGCCATCGGGATTTGGTTATACGCTTTAACCAAGTCGATTTTGGAGAATATAGTCGCGCCGGATAAGGTTGCCGTCAAGTCGTGTATATGAGGCAACGGGTAGCAATCAGGGGTTGTTTTGGCATTCACTCGCCGGTAATCACCGGTGGGTCGCCAATCGTTGCTATCCTTTTTCGGAACCATATGAAGTGGGGATGCCCATGGGCTATTCGAAGGTCGAATGATGCCAAGGCTAAGCATATGGTCAAATTCATTCCTGGCGATTCTCAGTTTGTCAGGAGCTAATCGTCGTGCTTTAGATGTCACAGGTTGTCCTGTGGTAATGATGTGGTGCATAACATTGCTGGTTATGCACGGTAGGTCGTTCGACGGGCAATTAAGTTCCGGATACTTGTCAACAATAGGTTGAAAAGTTGGATCAAGGATTGCCTTTATCTTAACGGGTGACAAACTAGGGCCTATGTACGTGATGCCTTTGATAGACAGACTAGTAGTATTGTCAATCAGTCGTTTTCGGCGGACGTCTACGAGTAAATCATGATGATTAAGTAGGTCCGTGCCAATGATGGGCATTGTAACGTCAGCGAGAAGGAAAATCCACCGAATAGGTTTGCGTAAACCTACGTTCAGATAGACGTATTTCCTACCAAAGGTTGCGATTGGTTTTCCATTTGCAGCCTGTAAGTTGAAGGTAGGTTCCTTCTGTCGATCTGCTGCTGTAGCAGGAAGGACGCTGACTTCGGCGCCTGTGTCGACTAAGTATCGAGTCTGGCTTATCACATCATGGATGTAAAGTAGGCGGCTAGTGCCACCGGCGACGGTTGCCGCTAACGCGTGCCGGCGGGATAGTTTCCCGCAGACTTTGAGACATTTCCGAAGTTACAAGGCTTACGGCAACACTTCGCTTCTTGGCCATAGGTGTTGTGGTACCAGCACCAGTCAGGGTTTTTCAGTGAACGTGGTTTGGACTTAGATCGACCACGTGAGTTCCTGCGTTGAGGAGATTTAGGACGACGGTTGGAGGATTTAGAATGCATGTTTGACCTAAACATCTGCTGAAGCGAGTTGCATAACTCTATCATTGCAGGATCC